ATAATAATAATAATAATAATAATAATAATAATAATAATAATAATAATAATAATAATAATAATAATAATAATAATAATAATAATAATAATAATAATAATAATAATAATAATAATAATAATAATAATAATAATAATAATAATAATAATAATAATAATAATAATAATAATAATAATAATAATAATAATAATAATAATAATAATAATAATAATAATAATAATAATAATAATAATAATAATAATAATAATAATAATAATATAATAGATTCTATTTCACTTGATGTAATTAAAAATTAATATTTTTTTGAGAAAATTTAAACATTAATATTATATGAAAAAATACTTATAAGTAAAGATTATTTTTAAATCCAAGTAGACTAATTAAAAAAAAATTGTTCAAAATAAATTCAGCATCCAACAAAACAATTAAGGATGGATAATTAATATAAAAAAACCAATTCAAAATAATTAGGATAAGGTCATTATGATGATAGTGAAAATGACTTCTATCTCTTTTTTGTTTAATCAATAAACTACAATTAGACTATGCTAAAAAAAAAAAAAAACTAGTAACTAACCCATTATTTCACTCTCAGTGCCATTTTAAGACTTCTGAGCGAAAAAGATCGAGATTTCATTTGGAATAGCTTTCTTACTGTTTCTTAAAGTAAATTTTTAATACAAAAAATAAAAATTTTGTAGTATAAAGTCAGTTTAAGAACCAATAAGAAAACCGTGCCAAACTAAACCTAAAACATTTACCATTCAAGTCTCAACTGCGGCAAAAACTGCGAGCTTCTGAAGAAGAAAGAACTGGAATATGCAGGGAAGTCGATAAAAATCACATCAAAGACAGTTTAACCAAACATAAGCACTTATAACACTTCAAAAGTTTGATAATTAGCAATTATTTAAAAAGATCTACATATAGGCCAAAAAGTTAAAATTAAGGATTCATGTGCTTAATCTAAAAATAAATAAAATACACTTTGCAATATGAGGCCTGAAGGAACTTTTGTTTTGGTCTTTAATTTGTAAGATTATAGAATTTATAAAGTTTAAATTCCAAGGAAGAAATCAGGAAATCAAGAAATGAAATCTGCTGATGAATTAAAGAGAAGATAAAGAAGAAAGAGATGAGGATATTTTACAAAAGAAACGTTGAAGAGACGGTTCGAATCCCGCCAAGGGAGCAGCGCTCCCTTGGACCTCCAACATATCTAGAAAACATACAACGATGAACAAATAGGAGTTGAGAGGCAGCACCCTCGGAATAAATTTTGGTTATAAGGATATTTATGAACCCCCCCGAAAATTAAGGCTGAATCCGCCCTTGGGGATGATGTGTGCTACAATAAAGAAAAAAAGGGGATATTTCCAAGAGAATCAAAATCATGCACAAAATGCAGCTCATCTTGATAATGGTATGTACCCCGCAAAATCTAGCTCGTTTCAAAGCTTGCGTACTCGATATGTCCCCCCCCAACCCACACCACAAAAAAAAAAAAAAAAAACCATGTGCAAAGATTTCCTGTTGCTTTAAACTAATGGTTCAGATTAAAAAATTGAAATTTCATGGATATGATGGCCTCATGACACACATTTCACCATTTTATGATAGAAAATTTTGTGATATATCAGTAAGCTAATAAGGAAATCAAGAGCAGATACTGAGAAATGAGAAATACAATGAAGAGGCTACACCAATTACAAGGAAACATTCAGCTATCAAGTTAGGCAAACACCATCAGCAGAGCAGAGTAAAAGTACCTTTATACTAAATCAGAAGATGGAAAGCACCCATCTTCATAGGGGAAAGTTAATAGGTCTGATCACTTGACAGAAGAATACATCCCGATTTCCATCTATTTACAGTAAAACGCAGTTATTGTAGCAGCTGTGTTTTTTATTGTAGACAAAGAGATACAGGAGATACATCCTGTCAGGTGACCGGACCTAAAAATTTTCCCTTCATAGGAGAAATAAGAGAAGGGCTATACATCCATAGGATTAAGCTCATTTATGGTGATTCAGCTGCTGGCTGCTAAAACTAGAAGCTGGGTAGTTGCAGAGACTCTCTTCCTCAGTGGCAACACAACTCTCAGCCCGAGAGCTGTTCGACGATGTTTTTTCATTACAGGGATGATGAAGGAGGAGCTCTGCTTCTGGGAACGAAGAACTGCAACGCACGTTAAGCAGCAAGTCTTGATCAGAGCTGTCATCTGTGAATTGAAACTCTGAGCTTGGATATGGAGGCCATGCGAAGAGGCTTCGTGGACTGACGCAAGCTCCTTCATTGCCGACAAGGCCATCAGCATCAAGCATTTCCTTTGATTCTTTTTCTGTGGGATTCAGCACTGACGATTTTGTAGAAGGAGATTTGGTGTTGCTGGATCTGTACACTATTTTTGGGCTCCTCATGATTCGCTTGGAATCTGCATTGAACAGTCCAAGCAAAGCAACCACTTATCAGATAGCTCAATAATGTGTTAGGAAAGGAAGATATTTGTTCAAAATAACAAGGCATTGGGTATTATCACATGTTTTTTATTTTTATTTTTATTTTTTTTATTATTATTATTTTAATTTTCTAGTAGATTCTAAAGTCTACAAACTTGTTCCTACATTTATTTTGATTTGTTGCACATATCCATCATCTTAATTAAAATAATGAAATTACATAAATCACCAAGCTTCTTGATTTTGTTTCAAGGTGTGAGTGCTTCTTTGTCTCTCCTTTCTAGAGCCCAAAGGGATTTGCTAAGTGGATGTCTGAGTTCTTAAAATTTTACTTGTATAATTATTTCAAGAAATCAGTGCTTAACCACAGTGGAACTTTTGCTTCTAAAACGATTCTTGTACAAAAAAAAAAAAAAAACAATTTTGATGACTTTTTGGTTAAAAAAATCCAAGTGCATGTTGCAAATGCAGCTTGAATTAATTTTTTAAAGACGAGAATACACTATTTCTGGCCATCATCACATGCCTAGAGAATGAAAATAGTAAAACGAATGTGCACCAATATTATGAATAATAATTTTTATTTACCAAATAATTGTGGAAATACCACGTATTTCTACCTATCTAATTGAAAACTAGCCTTAATCGAAGGTTCTCTCTGGTTATCGTGAGGGATAATTAGCTATAGGAGTTTGTGCCTGTAGGAAACCATAACTCAGATCATAAAGTCCTTGTAAAATGAGAGCGAAATCTTTGTGTAGCGTCTTATCAATAACTCATTTGCCTTTCCAAAATTTACCACGGAATTTATTCTGTTAAAACTCCCACAAAAATCAGCGAGGAGGCTGGAGACAAATTTTCGGAGCTCACAATTATATGTCATAAGACTTAAGAATGATAGATTAATAACAATGTATAGGATAAAAGAATATCAACAAACTATATGAAAATAAATTTGAGTGATTTGAGCCAGCACAAGATGCATCAATATATAAGCAAATAACATTAATATGAGAGGAATAAGAAGAAAAATAGCTAGACAAAAGGGTACATAAATATAAGTTGTTCAAAAAGAATTACACAAAACAAAAGTAAGACCTCAAATATTGCTGAACTAGAACAAATGGAAAATTAGAATTCACCATGCTAAAAAATTTCGGTTATTCATCACCCAAAATTATTCTTTACCCACACATCCGCGTTTAATTCAGGCAGGTAACCAAGATTTACAGGAATAATGAAACTTTCTAACATTTTCCAGATATCTGACCTTGTTTTAGATCAATAAAAGCCCCTAAAGATCATTTTTTTACTCCATGGAAAAATTAGATCTAGGATCATATCAGAATCTTAAAAAAAGTTTCTTGCTTTCAACTGCTTGGAAAATCCAAGTATCGGAAAGGAAAATTAACTTGGTGAAAGTGGAAAAAAAGTAGAAATTTTCCACAAAGCGCAACAAGAAACTGAATAGCAGATGTGGGAGAAGTGAGAAGCAAACAAACCTTGCATATGCCCATTTTGAATCTGACGAGTCCTCTTGCTAGGTGCTAAGTTGTAACGCAGAAGAAAATTCGCACTGTTTTCTCCCCCATTTGCTACAGCACTCTGCTGGCGTTTTACATCCTATTGCAAATGGAATATTAAATCGTTAGAACGAATGATAATGATTTGAGGTTCTAAATTAAAGTTCACATTAACATAATAAATTGTAACCACCAATATAAATTCTCCATTTAGCTTTTGGAACAGCAAAATTTTTCTAACCAACAATTTGATACCTTCACTTTTCCGTAGTGATCCACCCATCCAGATTTCAAAGAATTAAGCAAAGCAAGTTTCAGAGCCCTGCATTCTCCAACACTCATGTGACAAAAGGAGAGATCAAAAACTCCATCTTGGAGAAGTTGCTGGAAGTAGGATAAGTTCTCCATGAACAGGGGACTAGAAAACATGCTTTTAAGGCTGCAAAAGTAAAAATGAGCCATTAATGTAGTTGCTTATGTGCATACATTGATAACTTGAAAAACAGAGGAAGACAAACCTTTCACAAGGCATAGCCGTATCAATAGAAGGAAGATATTTCATCAGTCGCTGCTGCTCATCATTTGTCAAATACTTCATGAAAACCTCAAGACTAACAACATCCTGTTAAGATAGATGCCAAATAAGATTATAAGAGAGATGAAAAGCTAAAAACAAACAACAGTGCTCAATAAGTTTCTAAGGGCACAATATTAGGTGAGGACACCAGAAAGAGAGAATCATCCGGATTTCTCTTTGTCTACAGTAAAAGCGCAATCAAAGCACATCTGCAACAGTAACTGCACTTTGATTGCGCTTTTACTGTAGACAGAGAAAAATCCGGATGATTCTCTCTGGCTTGAGGTATGAAAAGGTTATTATGAACTATAGAATTAGAGCTTACTTTAAGATCAACAAACCTCAGAGGTGAATCTCTATCTTCTAGCATGCTGAGGTTTTGTGGCGAAACACTTTCGCTGGAAATATATTAGTTAACTATAAACATGAATATCCTTGAAAAAAGTAGACTTTCAAACATTAATAACCATCACCAATAACTAGATGAAGAAGTAGTATCTATTTTAGTATTTATGATGGGGGTAAGGACAAGATAAATAAACAGAACAGAACCTTTTAGCATGTTCTTGTGACATATGAACTGTGGAGTTTTCAATTTTGTCAATGGCAGCATCAGAAGAACGAGTTCTTTTACTTTCACTAATTACAGGAAATGATGCAGATCTTGAATATGCCTCACTAATTAACTTATTGTCAGCTGGAAGTGAGCTTGCTTCTGATTCCTCCTCTATAGGTTTATAACTTGGATATCTAAGAAGAACACCTCCATGTCCTATCTCAACTGAACTCCTAGTTATATCACGTTCAAAAAGTAAATCTTCTTCTGAGGATCCAGAGAGGTTAGATGACTGTTGCTCATGCCAGAAGGAGCATAGGACCTTAGTAAGCTTTTCAACAGGAGAAGGTTTTGGGTGTTTAACACTTCTCTTCTTTGATGGTACTGGCACTAGTGAAGAATCCAAGGCATTCGACTGTGCTGAGCCTGAAAATGAAAAAAATATTTGAAGACATTCGAAGTCATCTTGCAAATGGATTAAAAGAAGAAAGACTATTTATGTTTGTGAAAGTTTAACATATTTAACCTCTGCCGCTTGCTAGTTGATGGTATTATAATCATAAATGAAAAAAATGTATATGAAAAACTAGATCACATGTAGAATCATTGCAAATAATTTTACTTTATTGATAAGGATTAATGTATTTTAATGGATGCTACACCAGAAATATGAGTATAAGCTCCACAAATAGTGCATGTTAGTGTATATAAGTAATAAGTAGCTATTTATCATTACATTATTAATTAATAAAACTATGATTGTCATCATCATTAGCCTTATTATAACTATTTAGAATTTTATTTATAAATCAACATTTTTTATTTGTTTCTATTGAGCGCTATCATGTGTTAATTTAATTTATTCGGAGCTATTAGAGCGGGATCCACTTTTTGGGGAATATGAGTCGAAGCAATAATAAGAATCTTTTCCGTGGATCATCTTTCACAATCCTTGGATAGATAGTTCTCTAATAGACCGAGGGATAAGTAATTCGACTCATTCACATGCAGATCATGAATGTTTGGAATCCATATTATGCAAGGAGACATTGCTTTTGCTAATTCGAATTGAAGGGTGATATCAAATCGGTCTATTTTCGGCGTCATATACATAGTTAGCACATTCGTCATAGTTAGCAGCTCCGTGTTAAATATATTCTTTACAAATAATTTTGGAGATGTTCTCTTAGGTCAAATCCTTTTCCTTCCTAATCCTCTAACACTAATTGATGCATGCATTTTCTACCTTTCATTATTTATGTCAAAACCTCCAAAATTTATTTTCAATTACATAATCTTCAATACATGAGAGCTCAACCATTCCTCTAATGGTGAGTTTAGAGGGAAGGGAAATAAAGACAAAGCCTAGTAGAGACTAGAGAGAATTGCTTCTCATTATATTGGTGTCAAGTTGCTACGTTTATCATTCCCATGAACACATGGTTCTTAATTTGCACTACAAACAGTTAAAAATGTTTTCTACCAGAGGATACATAAATTACCTTTGAATAATTAAAACATTATAAATATGACAAACACAACAAAAATATCAGAAACAAAGCTCTTAAAAAAAATATCTGACTGGAATAATAACAGAAGAATGGTCACAAAGATATCATCAAATATTAATAGTACAGAAACAGTATAAAACCTGTCAAATCACTTGCATCAGCAACACCAAAATTTGCACAGCTTTCTGAATATGAGATTGCTGATCCAGAGCTAGATCGATTGCTAGCATTTCCCTCAAAGGTTCTAACGTAGTTTTGGTCTAATTCAGAAAATCTCATTTCACATTCATTTTCCACTATACCATGCATCTGCTTTCTTTTATTCAATCTATGTTCTTTGGACTTCAAAGAAATATTTTTCATTTTGACAACCTTAGGCTCTTCCCATTCACTGAGTTCTCGGGCATGCAAAGGAGTGTAGTTTGCCAAAGAACCCTTTGTTCTCCATCTTGAGCCACATGCATTACATAATACCGGCTTTTCTGGGGGTCCATTTCGCCAAAGAGGAGTACCTGTTGCATCACTTAACTTTAGAAATAGACATAAGTGTAGTGATCATAAAATTGACAGAGCTAATATGAAAAGCAAAAGAAAATAATGTTAAATTCTCTGAAAGTTATCTTTCTATGCCAAGTTCTTATATCTGAAGAGGCAAAAAAATCCATAATTCTACAATATGGAATGCTCGAAGGTGCCATTCGGCCTTAAAAATTCATAGAAGGATTTTAAACTTAATAACATATATAATGCATAAAATTTGGAATGCACGATAAGATGATGATTATCTAGCTGAAATATAATGGAAACTGAAAGTTTAAAACAAGCTTAGTGCATGCCATATTATCAAAGGAGTGGTATCTTATCATGAAATTTAGATTCTATACAAGTTCAGACAATGAAAAACAAACAATGTAGTCATCACTTATAAAGTTTATTCAGATAAAATAGCCAACATCGCCATGTCATACATCCATGGTACTAAATTATGTTCTACGAGTATACACACAAGCAAAATATTCTAACTGTAGTTATGGAAGGCATCAACATCTTAGAGTATGAACATTTTAAAGACAAGCAAAAGATTCTAACTGTAGTTATGGAAGGCAATAAGGCATCAACATCTTAAAGTATGAACATTTTAAAGGAAAAAGATGGGACCAAAGGAATTCTCACTCTATACGAACAAGCTTTTGAATTGCCAGGTACAAGGGGCTTTTACAAATGGTATGTCTACTATAGCATGCTGGGTTAATACTATGGCAAAAGGCTCGTTCTTTTCATCTTGTGCTCTTTCAATGGTACAATACATAAGCCTAAGCTCCAGGTTAACACTACAAAACTGTTTTAATACTCCAATCAGTTGGGTATGTGAAAGTAAAACACTGTAACGAAACAAATAAAAAAAAAAGAAATACAGGGGAAGGTAAAGGACACCGAGATTTAATGTGAAAAAATCCGAAATCGAGAAAAAATCATGGAGCCACACCACACCAAGAAATCCACTATGAAACTTGGGAGAAATAAGTACAAATCTCTCTTATCTCTTGCTCTCTCCTTGCTTCTCTCCTTGCTTACACTATTCTCACACTCAAAACAAAAAGAGAAAGACAATGTAAATAACACCAATGGATGCCACCCTTAAGAAAAACGAGAAAGAAAACTGTTAAGTCCACCTAGGAGCATTATGGCACCAGTTTGGAGCATTACTGTGCTCAACCTCTATCATTTGGTTCGCACTGTGGAGCTCTACTCTCTGTCTTTTCTCCAAGCAAACTTTGCAACACCATGGAGCTCGGGTACGCAGTGCCAAAGTGACGCACATAAAAAAATGGGTGCAAAACACCCAAACACAAGCAGGGGGAGGACCTCCCGCACCCCCCAACGAGCACGATAAATTGACTTGAGATCCGAGGCAACAATATAATCTGATTGATCAACACAATCAAATTCCACAGGGACGAACACAATCATAAATAAAGAGGAGAAGTGGAAGGCCCTGGCCAATTGATGGATCTTTCCCCTCCACAAGGCACAAGTAACTCATCCTCGAGTACCAAAGTCTAAGAAAACATAAAATTCAATGCTGAAATAATTTTTGTTCATAAAGAAAATTTGAAAATTACATCAATACCTCCAAACATTACTTGGTTTTTTTCCTCAAATCAAATCTCATTAGATAATATAGACAATCCATTTTTCAAGGAAATGAATAAACTTGTTGGCTACAAACAGAATGCTTTGAGCATACTGTAGATTGCATTGATCATAGAATAGGATACAAAAAAAGCATGAATGAAAGGAAAATGTAAAAGATTGAAGTTTTGGAATCTGAAAGGGCTCTACTGATGAACGCTAAAATGTAAACATTGTCTCTTTTTTTTTTTCAGGGACTTCAAGATTAGATTTCAATCACACAAAGGAAGGTCTCACTATGTAACAGCTGATTAGTTCAGTAGATAATAAAATGAATATAAACTAGAGTTTTTGGCACCAAAAAGTAGCAATGCTGAGTTCTCCTACAGCCCTTGTTTATTCCATGATAGAATTGAAGTACATGGGATGTGAAGACCAATGATTAGCAGTAATTAACACACAACATGAGCTGAAAATTCAGTTTATGAGACTTCACGTTACAAATATTGGACATCTCAGATTAAATAGCCTGTTAGTAGTGTGAGAAAATAGTGCAAGTCATGTTCTGAACAAGATAATCATTTAACACCAAAGGAAATAGAGAAATGGTCAAGCTTGTGCCTGCTCTTTAAGCATTATTTCAATTCAACAAGAAACTGCAGCTGCTAATTAGAACTTCTCCACTTTTAAGTCAATGAAATTGCCTAGCAATTCAGGCTTCGTTTGGGACGGCTTTTTTAATGCTTTTTAATGCAGCTTTCTAGTGCAAAAATTAAATTTTTTATACTAAAAAACTGCTTTAAGAAGTAGTGAGAAAGCGGTCCCAAACGAAACCTCAATATCTACCACATAAAAACCAATAACCTCAGCTGTGCAGAAAAGAGGACCAAGAGACATGTAAAATTCGACATGAATTTCACGTATTCAAGCGTGCTGTTCATGAAATTCTTGGCTCTACTCTTATCTCCAATCTAATTAGCATCCCAACAGAGAGAACAGGCCTTAAAATGACTAAGGGAAGCAAACCAAGGACCAACAAGTCAAATAAAGCGCCGTAAGCTTTTCCTATCCCTAAGTCGGCTCCATAATTTAGGTCCAATTTTGAAAACATGCAAAGAATGGAAGGTAAAATAAAATAAAAGAAGAAGAAGAAGAAGAAGAAGAAGAACAATAACAAAGTCAAAATCAAATTCAACAGACGGTTACTTTGCTTCTGAAACACCTAAACTTTCAAAAACGGCTAAAACCCGAAGCTTAAAATCTTCTAAATAACATTAATAATAGAAAGAAAAATCCTAACAAAAAAAAAAAGATAAAAAATAAATAAAAATATTCATTAGAGACATGAACAATAGCTCACATGTAACTCCACAATGACGGCAAGGTCCATGTTTTGCCATGCCAGAGACTTCGTTTCTCCCCCTTCGTATGAATTCCGGGAGAATTTAACAACCAAACAGATTAAAAACCCGTGTTTTTCACTTTTTCTACTAAAAATATCGAAAAATTCAAACCAGTTTCACTATATATTTTTAGAAAAGTATTCTCATGGCTTTTTTTAGGAAAAAAAGAAAAAAAATCAATAGGTCCTAAGGGCTCTTCTCTTCCAAAACTGAAGAATTAGATTCTCCTGTAAGCAGAACGAAAATTCCAAGTCTAACCCCTTGGCCTCTCAGTCCGCAGAACAAACAGGAAAGAGGCGAGAAGAAAGATAAAAGGACAGAAAAGATAGAAGTTTAATAAAGTGGAAGAAGAAGAAGAAGAAGAAATGGAGTAATGAAAAACTACAAAATTTACAGATTTAGATTATTTTTCTTCAGAGGGGAATATGTTCAATCCAATAGAAGAAGAAGATCATTGGAGGAATCAAATTAAGGTGGGGGAAAAGAAGAGATGGTTAATTAGTGGAGACTGGAGAGACCCCATTTTTCTTTCTTTCTTTCTTTTAATTTGGCTGAGAGTATAAATAATTAAATATATATATATATAAAGAATTTTATTTATTATACCATAAATTATAATAATTTATTTATCACTATTTCAAAATACCAATTTTATTATTTGATTCTTTAAATCAAGATAAAATTAGTCTTTTCATAAATTATTTCTATTTTCCATTTAAAAAATAAATAAATGAAAACGATATTTTTAAATGGTCGAAAACCATTTTGCTCCTTTATAATGCTCTCAAAATTATTTTAATTTTTATCTCCACATAAAAGTTATCATACAAAATACTACTTTGAAATTTTTTTTATCTTTTCTATTAATTAAACTTTGTAAGAAAATATATTTCTTATTAAAAAACTAAGTTTTTCTGATTTTAATAATTTTGTCCATTATGGTAAATTTGAAAACTGGATAAATCAGTTATATCAGATTTTTTTTTTTTGTGTAAATGTTTAATTGCATATGATGCCCCTCAGGCTGCTTTAGGTGCATTTAACCTGGACTCCATTAGTAGTTTGAAAAGCCTGTGGGAAAAATTATTAAAGTAATACCCCCCGACTTTTCTGCTTATATTGCATTTCAAATTTTTTTGAAAATGTTAGCAACGCGTTTTGGTAAAACTATTTGGAAACCGAAAAACTATTAATAAAGAAAATTTTTAATGAAAATCGAGGGTTAGTATTGTAATAAATGTTATTTCTGAATTTTACAAAAAAATCCATGATGTAAATCTTAATTAATATTTTATAGTATAGAAGAAAGGTCTGTATTTTCATATTTTATAATAATTTATATGTAAATTTTAAGAATTGGATGAGTCATGGTTGTAATTAACGCCAAAAGTAATTAAAATTGCAAAGTAAACCCTGAAGACTTCTTAGATAGTTTGGAGGTGAGAGAAAATTAATATGGCCTTTTTGAAAAAGCCTAACTGCAAATAAAAAAATACATGGGAGAAAATTGTAAGCTGCTGCATGTGGGAGAGAAAAAGTATATTATAATTTATAATACAATAGAAATAATAGTGGATAGAGAGTTGACCATTGACGGGAAATTCTATTGAGTTGTTGCAATAAATTTATTATTGAATATATAGTAAATATTTATGCTGCTTAAATGGGATTGATGGCGAGGTTAAAAAAGAAATTTTAATAATGTGGTGACTTAATTGAAAAAATGGCTTTAAGATTTGTGGAGCTTTATTTCTTTGTTTTTTATTGAACGCTCCTTCTCATATATTTATTTTAATTTTTAAGGCATTTATTATCATGTGAATTTATTTAATCAAAATATCTTGAGGTTAAATAAGTAATTTTCCTAAATTTTATCCATTTATTAATATATAATGATCCATATGGTTATGGACATAGAAAATTTTATCTCAAAAATACAAGTCTTATATGATTTTAATGTATTTTTTAAGGACTAAAATTAATTAATTAATTAATTTTTGTACATTACTATCTTTAATGATAAATTAATATGTATATTGATTTAAGATATGTCGAATATAAAAAATTGTTAATATAAAGTAACTGTTCTTCAACAACCCTTAATTATCTATATGGTTATGAGTGTTACATAAAATGCTATACATTAATAAAAAAAAAGTACAACAATACATACATGTATAACGCTACAAACTACTATACGCAAATGTCACCTCCTAATTTATCGAAGGAGGATGAGATCAAAAGATTTTGGCGAGTTGCTTATGGTGAGCTTAGTGACATCGAGTATATCAAGGTGAATGGCTTGGGCGAGTCTATGAGGTGATCGCTAATATGATAGGGGCTGGCTACTAGCGAGTTGGTTGGCAGGGCTAATGATCTTTATGAAAGCTTCGAGATCAGCTGAGAAAAAAAAGGTGAGTGAGATATAGTTGCAAAAGGAGAGAGTTTCGACTGGAACGATTGTGATGACGTAGATTCAATGAAAGGTAAGGTTTGGATATAAATAATATATTTATTTATTTTTAGTTTGTATGGGTTGTAATTTCATGAATGTGTTGATTTTATTATTATTATTATTATAGATGTGATGTTTTATTTTTAAAAATCACATATTGCATTTACGCTTTGGAATATTCTATATAAGTAACCTTTATATAAAAATTTATTTGAAAAAAAAATGAATCAAAATATTCTGATTAAAAGCAATATTATTTATTTTGTATGAGGAGCTCTTAATATAATTTCTTAAGGATTTCCCACCTAAGACTTATTAGGTTTCATTTGAGACAATTATTTTAAATTTTAATGCTTTAAAAAATAATTGTACAAAAATTTTTAATTTAAGAAATCTTTGTATTAAACAGTTGTTTTAAAAAATAGTAAGAAAATTATCTCAAATATTTTACCCACATATACCCACCCACTTTCCATGCTTTTTGAACACAGTCTGGCACGGACTAATGGTTTTGAGGCTTGTTGCCCTTTGCTATGATTGTAAACATTCAAGTTGCATATCAAAATTTATCGTAGTCGTAGCGTGGTTAAATGCTGCACACTACATAGTGAGGATTGCAATAACATAAGATGTACAGTTATTAGTAATGTAAATCGATTTATCCATAGATGTTGAGTATTCACCCATACCCACTCACAAGGCCATAAGCGTACCCATACCCACTCATATCCATTGGGTATGGGGGTATTTGGGTGGGTGTGATATGGGTACCCAATGCAGGGCTCTGCAGTCAAATGATTGTCCGACCCTTACCTATAGCCGACGCCTCTGCAGTCAGCGAACTCAAGATGTGGACCCTCGTCGATCGAAACCTTGTCTCTGCGCTTCTGTCTACTATCTCTCCCTCAATTCTGCCCTACGTGATCTCTCTCGGCACGGCTCACGACGTGTGGCTCACCCTCGAGCGACGGCTACAACCGACGAACCGTTCAAGAGTAATCCAGCTCAAAAATGAGCTTCATCAAATTCAAATGCGTGATCGTACCATGAGGCAATACCTTGATCAAGTCAAGATTCTCGTCGACAACATTGCCGCGGCCGGATCCACCATTGATACCGAGGACATCATCATCTATATCCTTAATGGGCTTCCCGCTGCCTATAACGCCTTCACAACAGCAATTCGAGCGTCCCTCCAACCTATCGCTCTCGACGATCTTTACTCTTTGCTCTGCAGCGAAGAAATCAACCTACAACATCGGCAGCTCAAAGAAACCTCCAACCCGGAAGTTCTTGCAATGCTCTCCAATCGAAACTACTCAGGACAGTGGAAACCGAACAAACAACGCGGCAAGAACCCCGTTCAGAGAACTCAACAGCAGATCGACCCAACATCCGCAGCCAAGAACTCGTCCACGCGACCCAGCTGTCAGATCTGTGGGAAAACAGGTCACACGGCGATCAACTGCTGGCACCGTTGTAACCTCAACTATGCGCCACCATCCAATCCTAAAGCACTTACCGTTCAGCAGCAATTCTCTACCACGAACGACTGGATAGTGGACTCCGGCGCGTCCTCCCACCTCACGGCGGATGTCTCAAATCTCCAGCAGCCACAGCCTTATTCCGGCAGCGACACCGTCTCCTTAGCCAATGGCCAAAATCTTCCGATACATCACTCGGGTCAAGGCATTCTACCCCTGCCCGAGTCAAACCGTAAGCTTAAATTACATAACATTTTACACGTCCCAAAATTATCTCACAATCTTCTCTCTGTCTCTCAGTTGGCCTCAGACAATGATGTTTCCGTCTGCTTTCACGCTAACGAATTTTTCATAAAGGATCGCCCTCAAAATCAAGTTCTTCTTCACGGTCGCAAACACAACGGCTTATACCGCCTCAAAGCTCATACCGCACCTGAAAGAACCGCCCTCACTGCTACCAATTCGTCAGACGTGCCATGGCATTCGCGTTTGGGACATCCCTCACACGCCGTTCTTCAAACTTTAGCTAAATCTGTTTCTAGTATTTCGAATTGTAGCTCTTCTCTTACTCCTTGTATTTCTTGCAATATATCAAAGTCTCACAAATTACCTTTTTCAAAAAGCAATTCCTCTAGCACAAAAATTTTTCAATTAGTGCATTCAGATATCTGGGGACCGGCTCCGATCCCCTCTACGAACGGCTCTCGCTATTTTATACTTTTTATAGACGATTTTTCAAGATTTTGTTGGTTGTATCTTCTGAATTCTAAAGACGAAGCATTAAATAAATTTCAGCAATTCTACAATCTCATCTCGAACACCTTCAACGCTTCTGTGACCACCCTTCGCACGGACGGCGGCGGCGAATTCCTGAACCATTCATTCCGCAGCTTTCTCCTGCACAAAGGAATCCAACATCACATTACCTGCCCGCACACGCCAGAACAGAATGGCGTCGCCGAACGAAAGAACAGACACCTACTGGACATCACACGTACTCTGCTTCACGCAGCCAATCTTCCGAATCAATTCTGGGCGGAGGCCGTTTCAACAGCCAACTACCTTATAAATCGCCTGCCCAGCTCTGCCATTGCCAACATCACTCCTTATCAGCGCCTTCACGGTCGTCCGGCCAACTACGACCATCTCCGCACATTTGGCTGTCTCTGCTTTCCCTGGACTCGCCCGTATGCGCAACACAAGCTCGCACCTCGCTCTCAGACGTGCGTTTTTCTGGGCTACTCCTCGCAACATAAGGGATATCGTTGTCTTGATACCAACACCAAGCGTGTTTACATATCGCGACATGTGAAGTTCTATGAGAACCAATTCCCATACAAGCTGAACTCAACGCCAACTGTCACACCCGCTACAGACTCCTACACCTCTCCTCTCATCTTACTGCCCAACTCCACAATTCAGCAACCTCTGCCGGCTACTGCTCAACCCACCTCAATACCGTCTCTGGCACAACAAACATCACACTCTCCGGTCATCCAACCTCTAGAACCCGTTGCTCAGTCCTCGGACTTACCTCCTGCATTGCATCCCATGCAGACCAGGTCACGCTCTGGTATCACGAAACCAAAACCAATTTTCGATTTGTCT